CCCGCACAGTGTCCTATTTTCCCTTTGGGAAATATGGTCACCCTACTCCTGCCTCTTCGCCAGTCAGCTCTGAACTGAGCCAGGTGCTCTCCTTTTCTCCCTCCTCCAGGCCTGGCATTGGCTGCGGTAAAATGGGGTAGGGCTGTCTGGGCCCAAAGGCTCCCTCTAACCCCTGCTGTACTGGCTGGCAGTTTCTCTGCTTTATCACAGTTATGTTGAAATATGTATGAATAATAGAAAGTGAGGATTAACACAGATATACGATGACGTTAGTCCTGCATGGAGCCACAATGGGATAGCCACACCTTCTCAAGGAGATGGCTACAAGAACAGAACTTCTGTTGCTAGTAGCGAGAATTGAATCAGGCACCACTTCCACATTAGTTCATACTTACCAGATATTTCCTGGTCCCTCCATATCAGATCATCAGGAGGGATACGATAACCAGAGTGCTATGGCAAAATTCCTGCTTGCTGATTGACAGTTAACAACCATCAGCCAATTAGTATATAGTCATTCACATAATGTCTGGTTATTACAAAATAGCTTTAGAGTAGTTACACAAAGCAGATATTCAGAACCAGTCAAGGTGCTGGGAACTGAATAACTATGAAGGGGCAGGAGGTGCATTGTATAGTTTTCCAAAAGCTACCGTACAATGTCTGTGTACTATGTTTGACTGAGAAATGTTAATTTTGGCAAAACAAGAGATAACAATACAGCAAAATACAATTCCTATAAAAGTATATTTACTAACTGTCCACAAAAAAAATTATTCAAACTCTGTAAAGTTTACTGAGAAGCTGAATAGGAATTAGTGTGTTTCCATAAAGTATGGTAGATAAGAACATAAGAATAGTCATTTTCTGTGGAACTTCATCTCAGTTTCAAGCTTGGAACAAACCCCAAAGCTGTTGGGTTTTGTGTGGTTTAAGGTTTTCTTAACGTTTTGCATAGCTCAGCTGTACAAATGTCCCTTCATTTGCACACACAAGAGAAATGCTCAACAATTTGTTCTCCATCAAGGAACATTTCTTAAGTCATAGAAATGGACTATGCTGAGCTGTACTTTAGAAACATTCACTGTGAATGCGAAATGTGTGCAAAATGTATAGAAATCTACAAAAAATATTAGTATTATGCAGAAGATGGAAAAGTTCAGAGAATTCCTGCAACATTCATCCAAATTTAACCTGAAGAAAATCAATAGCTACAAAACTTATTTCAATTTTGTTTTGTGTGGTTGCCATAATACAGAATAAGCCTTCTACTCCTGCCCGAGCTTAGACTAGAGAAGTAAACTGGATTAAGTTTACAAGTGTGAGCAACAAGGGTGATGTCGTGGTGGGAGTCTGCTATAGACCACCAGACCAAGGGGATGAGGTGGACGAGGCTTTCTTCCGGCAACTATCAGAAGTTACTAGATTGCAGGCCCTGGTTCTCATGGGAGACTTTAATCACCCTGATATCTGCTGGGAGAGCAATACAGCGGTGCACAGACAATCCAGGAAGATTTGGAAAGTGTAGGGGACAATTTCCTGGTGCAAGTGCTGGAAGAATCAACTAGGGGCAGAGCTCTTCTTGACCTGCTGCTCACAAATAGGGAAGAATTAGTAGGGGAAGCAAAAGTGTATAGGAACCTGGGAGGCAGTGACCATGAGATGTTCGAGTTCAGGATCCTGACACAAGGAAGAAAGGAGAGCAGCAGAATATGGACCCTGGACTTCAGAAAAGCAGACTTTGACTCCCTCAGGGAACTAATGGGCAGGATCCCCTGGGAGAATAACATGAGAGACAAAGGAGTCCAGGAGAGCTGGTTGTATTTTAAGGAATCCTTATTGAGGTTGCAGGAACAAACCATCCCGATGTGTAGAAAGAATAGTAAATATGGCAGGCGACCAGCTTGGCTTAACAGTGAAATCCTTGCTGATCTTAAACACAAAAAAGAAGCTTACAAGAAGTGGAAGATTGGACAAATGACCAGGGAGGAATAAAAATATTGCTCAGGCATGCAGGAGTGAAATCAGAAAGGCCAAATCACACTTGGAGTTGCAGCTAGCAGGAGATGTTAAGAGTAACAAGAAGGGTTTCTTCAGGCACATTAGCAACAAGAAGAAAGTCAAGGAAAGAGTGGGCCCCTTACTGAATGAAGGAGGCAACCTAGTGACAGAGGATGTAGAAAAAGCTAATGTACTCAATGCTTTTTTTGCCTCTGTCTTCATGAACAAGGTCAGCTCCCAGACTGCTGCACTGGGCAGCACAGCATGGGGAGGAGGTGACCAGCCCTCTGTGGAGAAAGAAGTGGTTCAGGACTATTTAGAAAAGCTGGATGAGCACAAATCCATGGGGCCGGATGCGCTGCATTCAAGGGTGCTAAAGGAGTTGGTGGATGTGATTGCAAAGCCATTGGCCATTATCTTTGAAAACTCATGGAGATTGGGGGAGGATGACTGGAAAAAGGCTAATGTAGTGCCCATCATTAAAAAAGGGAAGAAGGAGGATCCGGGGAACTACAGGCCAGTCAGCCGCACCTCAGTCCCTGGAAAAATCATGGAGCAGGTCCTCAAGGAATCAATTCTGAAGCACTTAGAGGAGAGGAAAGTGATCAGGAACAGTCAGCATGGATTCACCAAGGGCAAGTCATGCCTGACTAACATAATTGCCTTCTATGAGGAGATCACTGGCTCTGTGGATGATGGGAAAGCAGTGGATGTGTTATTCCTTGACTTTAGCAAAGCTTTTGACATGGTCTCCCACAGTATTCTTGCCGGCAAGTTAAAGAAGTATGGGCTGGATGAATGGACTATAAGGTGGATAGAAAGCTGGCTAGATCGTCGGGCTCAACGGGTAGTGATCAATGGCTCCATGTCTAGTTGGCAGCCGGTATCAAGCGGAGTGCCCCAAGGGTCGGTCCTGGGGCCAGTTTTCTTCAATATCTTCATTAATGATCTGGAGGATGGCGTGGACTGCGCTCTCAGCAAGTTTGCAGATGACACTAAACTGGGAGGAATGGTAGATACACTGGAGGGTAGGGATAGTATACAGAGGGACCTAGACAAATTAGAGGATTGGGCCAAAAGAAACCTGATGAGGTTCAACAAGGACAAGTGCAGAGTCCTCCACTTAGGATGGAAGAATCCCATGCACTGCTAAAGACTAGGGACGAATGGCTAGGCAGCAGTTCTGCAGAAAAGGACCTAAGGGTTACAGTGGACGAGAAGCTGAATATGAGTCAACAGTGTGCCCTTGTTGCCAAGAAGGCTAGGGGCATTGCTAGCAAATCGAGGGACGTGATCATTCCCCTCTATTCAACATTGGTGAGGCCTCATCTGGAGTACTGTGTCCAGTTTTGGGCCCCACACTACAAGAAGGATGTGGAAAAATTGGAAAGAGTCCAGCAGAGGGCAACAAAAATGATTAGGGGGCTGGAACACATGACTTATGAGGAGAGGCTAAGGGAACTGGGGTTGTTTAGTCTGCAGAAGAGAAGAATGAGAGGGGATTTGATAGCTGCTTTCAACTACCTGAAAGGGGGTTCCATAGAGGATGGATCTAGACTGTTCTCAGTGGTAGCAGATGACAGAACAAGGAGTAATGGTCTCAAGTTGCAGTGGAGGAGGTTTAGGTTGGATGTTAGGAAAAACTTTTTCACTAGGAGGGTGGTGAAGCACTGGCTTGGGTTACCTAGGGAGGTGGTGGAATCCCCTTCCTTAGAGGTTTTTAAGGCCAGGCATGACAAAGCCCTGGCTGGGATGATTTAGTTGGGGATTGGTCCTGCTTTGAGCAGGGGGTTGGACTAGATGACCTCCTGAGGTCCCTTCCAACCCTGATATTCTATGATTCTAAGTATCCTACCAGCTGGAATAGATAGGATATGATTCCGCCCTCTCCATGTTGAGTCAGAACGTCCTTGTAATCAGCTTTCTCATACAACAGCACAAGGGAGTACTAGTGGGTGGACAGGATGACAGGTCTCAATTCATTTGTTTAGAAGAACCTATTTATATTGATTACTGTCAACCCCATTGCATGAACAGTTTCAGTTTGGCCTCTGGAATTCAGATGAAACAATTATGGTGACGCATGAGGTCAGCTTCTCTTTCCACTTACACTGATGTAAACCAAGAGGAAACCTACTGAATTCAGAATTACACCACTGTAAACCCAATGTAAGTTAGAGCAGAATCAGGCCCAGGATTTTTTTTCTTCCACAGTTTGCTATTATTTCCATCACAAGGGAACCCACCTCCGTGCTCAAATTAGGTTTAGAAACATTCAGGAAATATTGAGAGATACTTGATGTGTGGCATGCTTGACAAAGAGAGATCATTAACACTGACTAGTACCGTGACTCTTTAATTAGTTTAAGAGGCGGCCAACCAACAAACAGATCATTGCAGCATAGGAAATGCCACAGAGAGGGAAAGAACACAGAGCCTGTAATTTCTTCCACTCTGTTCCTTTCTATTTCTTTTATATTACCCCATGCACATTTCTAGCAGTCTGAAAACTGACAGCTAATTCCCCATCATCAGTCACTGTGATGCTCTTTGATTTTTTCCCCCCTTCTGACAGTTATTCTATTGATTTACAAATGTGTGTGTTCAGAAAAATTGTAAGGGAATTAAGAAAAATTAAAACATGTGGCCTTCAGAGTATTGTGTCTAACATTAAATAAGCATGCATCACGGCTCTTGGATAAGAGGATAAACAAAGGGAGTATGACAAAGTGGAGTGTGGAAACAACAATATTGCAAGGCTGAGAAGAGGGGAAAAAACACACCAGGGCCAAACTCAACTCCTGTTTACATTTATGCAGCAGAAACTTTGCATATGTATCCACAGGCAAAATTTAGTTACACAAAACCAACAACGTAATAAATGAGACACATACTGTACAAGTGGAATAAACAAATCCCAGTGTGGCTAAGTAAAGAAGTCCTCACTTGTGGCATGGTCTACACTTTCTTTACTAATAGAATGAATGTTATTCACTTACCTGTGAATTATATGATATCTCTGCAAATAGTCCAGTGAAAGTGCCAATTCACAAATATATAATTTAACAGTTCCTTCGTTAAAATGCACATTCTGTTGTAGGTGGTAACGCAGATCCCCTCCAAGTAACAGATCTACCACCATGAACATGTCTTCTTCATCTTGAAAAGAATACCTGGAAGAAATAATTATGAAAATGAAAAAAAAAGAAAAAAAACCCAACGGTTATTCAGTTCAATTCAATGAGTTGTTTTTGGCAAGGAAAGCTATTAAAAAAACTAACAAACAACAACAACAGCTGCCAGACCCTTCAGTTATCTAACAGAGGTAGATCTGCCCATGGTAGAATTACAGTTTGCTCAAATGCAACAGATTGTTTTCTCCAGTACTACCAATATTAGCCCAATCCTGTGTTGCTTGTGCACCCACACCTCACTCTGACAACAGCAGCTCTTTTGGATGCACAAGGAAAGCAGAATTGGGCCCATGGATGTCACCTGGCATTTTGATTTTGAGAAACATAGAAAATCACTTTTAACACTGATTTATTGCGGGGCAGTATTTAGAAAACCTTTTGGGGTTTATGTATTTTAAAATCCGTATGTATCTTCCGAATTCATAAATTGGCCTGGCAAGTAGCAGGAATAAAAATAAGGCCTATAAAAACCATGCTTGGTATTTAGATAAACGCAGTCATAGGTGATGAATCATAGGGTTAGAAGGGACCACAAGGGTCATCTAGTCTAACCACCTGCTAAGATGCAGTACTTACTGTGTCTAAAACATCCAAGACAGATGGCTATCCAGCCTCCTTTTGTAGACCTCCAGTGAAGATGCTTGTTACAGTTCTTACAGTTCAGAAGGTTTTCCTGAGATTTAATCTAAATCTGCTATGCTGCAGTTTGAACCCATTGCCTCTTTTCCTGCCCTCTATGGCAAAAAGAGAACAATTCTTCTCCATTTTTATGGCAGCCTTTCAAGTACCTGAAAAGCTCTATATCTCCCTTAATCTCCTCTTTTCCAAACTAAACATACTCAGTTCCTTCAGCCTTTGCTCATATGACTTGCATTCCACCCCTTTGATCTTCCTTGTTGCTCACCTCTGGATCCTTTCCAGTTTCTCTACATCCTTTCTATACATTGGTGACCAAAACTGCACACACTACTCCAGCCGAGGCCTAACCAGCACTGAGTAGAGTGGTACTATCACCTCCTGTGACTTGCATGCTATGCCTCTCTTAATGCAACCTAATGTTGCATTTGCTTTTTTTGCAACAGCATCACATTGCTGACTCATGTTGAGGTTGTGATCCACCACAACTCCTAGATCCTTCTCAGCAGTGCTGCCTCCAAGCCAGTTTTCCCCCATTCTGTATTTGTGCATTTGGTTTGTCTTTCCTAAGTGTAGCACTTTACATTTGTCTTTGTTGAATTTCATTTTGTTGTCTTTAGACCAGTTTTCCAATTTATCAAGATCCCTCTGAATTTTAGCTCTTTCCTCCAAAGTACTGGCAACCCTCCCAACTTTGTGTCATCTCCAAACTTGATCAGTATGCTCTCTATTCCTACATATAGGTCATTGATAAAGATGTTAAACAACACCATTCCCAGAACAGATCCCTGTGGAACCTCACTTGAGATCGCCTTCCAATACAACATCATTCCATTAATAGTTACTCTGTTTGCGGTTGTTTAACCAATTATGGTAGTTCTGTCAAGCCCACATATTTCTAGCTTATCGGAATGTCTTGTGGGACTGTGTCAAAAGCCTTGCTGAAGTCTAGGCAGAGGCAGATTTACAGTGAAACACAGGGTGCCCTGGCAAGGGGTCCCCCAACAACAGGGGCCCCCAGGACCGGGAAGCTGCAGGGGCAGAAGCTTGGTCATGCCGGCTCCTGGGGCTCCTGCTGCAGGCTCCGCCCCCACCAGCAGCCAAGCTCCTCCCTCCCTGCCTCCTCCCCCGAGTGTGCCGCATTCCCACCCTTCTCCCTCCCCCTCCCAGCGCTTCCCCCATTGCCAAACAGCTGTTTGCCAGTGCTCAGGTCACTCTGAGAGGGAGCGCGAGGAGCAGGGCCACAGCACGCTCTGGGGAGGAGGCGGGGAATAGGCGGGGGGGCAGGGCCAGAATTGGGGCAGGGCGGAGCAGGGGCAGGGCCCCGCACTCCTCCTACACATACACACACACACAGCAGCCCCCTGCCATGAGCCGCTCAGGGCAGGGGGCTGGCAGCACCCCCATGACCCCAGCCCACCCCCCAGCCCCCTGCCCTGACTCCTGCAACCCCATTACACACTCCCAGCCCTGACTCCTGCACCCCTCTCGCACACACCCAGCCCCCTGCCCTCCCTGACTCCTGCACACCCCCCACACATCCCCACCTGCACCCCTCGCACCAAACAGGAACTGCCCCAGGTAAGCACTCCACACCCCAACCCCCTGCCCAAGCCCTGAGCCCCCTCCCACACCTAACTCCTGGCCAGACCCTGCACCCCATCCCCCGGCCTGCTCCTGCATCCTAACTTCCTCCCAGACCCTGCACCCCCAGTCCCCTCCCACACCCTAAGTCCTGGCCAGACCCCGCACTCCAATTTTTTTTAATAAAGCGCTCTTATCCAAAGTGCTTTACAATCGTTAGCTAATGGTACAAACAATATTTGGAAAGATCATTAAGTGGTCCACCGAGACCCTCAGAGATTATCAAATGGTCTGTGGAAAAATAAGTTAGACTACAAAAACAATCAAGGTACCTCACTTTACTTTCATTTACTTCCTATAATTTATACGAGGTGGATGAAGAAAAAAAATTAAAAATTGGGGGGGGGAGAGATAAGAGAGAATGTTCTTTTTCTTGGCTGGGTCCCAAGGAGGGGCCCCAAAAATGAAGCTGAGCACAGGGCCCCACTAACTCTAAATCTGCCACTGAGTCCAGGTATATTATGTCCACCACATTCCCCCTATCTACCAAATCAATTACTCTGTCAAAGAAGGAAATCAAGCTGGTTTGGCATGATTTGTTCTTGGTAAATCCATGCTGGCTGCTAGTGATTACCCCTTCATCCTCCAGGTATTCGCAAACTGAATGTTTTATACATTGCTCTAGTAGCTTCAAAGGTATCAAAATCAGGCTGACTGGTCTATAGTTTCCTGGCTCCTCCTTTTTCCCCTTTTAAAGGTGGGCACTACGTTAGCCCTCCTCCAGTCTTCCAGGCCCTCTCCTGTCATACATGAGTTTGTAAATATTATTGCCAGTGGCTCCAAGCTTTCTTCAGCTAATTCTTTCAGTACCTTGGGGTGAATTGCATCCAACCCCGCTGATTTGAATTCATTCAAATTGGTCAGAAGATCTCTGACATGTTCTTTATGTATCCCGATCTGCATCCCTTCCTCTTTATCGTCTGTGGTAACTTCGCTAATTGTCTGTCACGTTATTTTTTGGGAGAAGACTGAAGCAAAGTAGGCATTGAGCAGCTCTGCCTTTCTATCATCTTCTGTTACCAGCTCACCTTCTCCACTGAGCAGCAGACTCACACCGTCCTTTATCTTTCTTTTTTGTCTGACACATTTGAAGAACCCCTTCCTGTTGTCTCTAACATTTCTTGCCAGCTGTAATTCATTCTTTGCCTTGGCTGTCCTGATTTTGTTCCTATATGCTCGCACTATTCCCATGAATATTTCCTTGGTGACATGCCCCTCCTTCCATTTCCTGTATGTATCCCTTTTGGTTTTTTGATAGCCAAAAAGCTCCTTGTGCAGCCACATTGGCCTCCTGTGGCCCTTCTCTTTCCTCTGCATCAGAATAGCTTGATGTTGAGTCTCTAGTATTACATCTTTTAGGAACTGCCAGTCCCCTTCAACTCCTTTTCTTCCTAATTGGTCTTTCCATGAGACCTTGCCTACTATTTCTCTGGGTCAGTTGAAATCTGCCTTTCTGAAGTCCAGAATCTGCATCCACAAGTATTACCTTGCAGGATTGATCATGTAGGGTATATTCCCCCCTCTGCGTATATATCCAGCTCCCATTAAGACACATCTACCCCATATCTTGTATTATACCCCTGAATTCACTCAGCAGAGAAAATAAAACTGGGACCACACTGCCCACCATTACATATGTTCTCCATATATAATGACGTTTTATAAAGTGTTAGATTCTCCATGGTCACTGATTGATTTCTGATTAACCCTTTTCAAGAAGTGCTTGTGAAAAACTCCAAGGGCCAAATTCTAGTCTGTCTTAAGCCCTGTAAATCCAAAGGTTAGCCAGCTAACCCGTATAATGTGGTTATTACCTGGACAAAGGGTAATTTCCATGGATTTCTACTTACCAGGCAATTGCTATATATTTTTTTTTCCATCAGAAAACACTGTCAGGAACTCACTGGTTTTAATTTCTGATCAGTGTATTTGTATAAGATGCTGTTTTTTCTCTTCCAAATGGTACAATGATGAATGGCTTATTTATTTTTTTAATATAAAATAAGTCTGCTTAGAGTTGTCTCTGATGGAGCTACACCAGTTTACACCACCTGAGGATCTGACCCACTGACTGCTAAACAACCATAGTAATATGTCTTTGACACATACTGTGTGCTGTGCAATTGTGCATGTTCTCTATAGGCCATCTTCAGTACTACAGTATGTTGTCCTCTAATTTCTAAGAGTCCCTAAAAATATGTTACAGAAATAAAGAATGGTTCATCTAGAAAATCTGTAGCAAAAATATGAGGCAGAAAAGTCTGTATTAGATTATTTTAATCAAACAGCTTTATACAGTCTGACTTTATTCCCAGACTCATGCTTTGTGAAATGAGGTACTGCTTAGGGGTTGTCACATATTTAAACTCTTTCCATTCTTTTAGAGCATGATGTTCTGTTGCACTTCTATGCATCTCCCAAATGCCAGGGGAAAAATACATATTTATTTGCATTATATTTGTTTCTTGATAAGTCAAATCTTTGAAGCAAAGTAATAAAGTGGGTGGCACATGGTGTGTACTTCCCTCCACACACACAGAGCGCACCTCAACAAAAGAAATGAAAGGCGTCATTTATGTTCAGGTTTATTCCAGATGCTGCATCCCACAGTGCCTGAAACCATCTCAAAAGTGATGTTTACATACTTAGCTGATGTTTAAGACTCATTGCTTTTTTTCCTGTTGTGTTTTTAAATGGAG